TTGATCATTTCTTTTTTTTTGTGGGGGGGGGAGGAAGGGGAAGGGAGCAGGAGGAGGAACAGCGTGGGAGCTAGTTCGAATCAAAACTTTAAGCGGAGAATGATTTGCAACCGGTATCTTCAAACCAGGGTCACCGCTTAGATTTTCATGGCTAAGTTATATTGGTTCTAATTTAACATTTTTTCAGTTCTCATCTGTACGCATGATCTGAAGCGTATCCAGTCAGGCGTAAACGCCGGTCAGCACAACAGGATTGAGCTTTTGGCTTGCGTTTTGGGGTGGCTCAGAGAAATCCCGACTGCTATCACGCTCCGATCGTTCCAATCTTAAGAACAATACAAAAGATACATACCATACTAAAAGGCTGGATATATTGGATATATCACTGCTTATTTGCGAACTCTAACTTAAAAAATTATAGTCAGGAGAAGGTTTCAGCTATGGATTACATGCATTAATCACTTTTCATACCAAAAACCTAGTCATCTGTTTGATTGATCCATTGATTCATAGAGAATTAATTGAAACAAAATCCAAAATATCATACATACTATATTTTTATACACGTCTGAGTTCAGACTGTGTGCCAAACAAATCACGGTACAGTGATCTTTATGAAAATGAAAAAGTCTGTGTGATTTGGATGTGGGCCGAATACTGCCAGGTTGCCCAGGCCAGGACGTAAACCGCGTTACCAGATAACCTGATCGATGATACCATTAGTTCCAAACAGATATCATTTAATGTAAAAATGCAAGTCACTAGTGACCGAAAATATAACGTAAGACTTTGACTTTGGTTGGTATCTAGTGACGTAAAGTAGAACTGGTTGCGGGCACACTAAATGATGTGCACTCCATTATTGCTGACCTCATTCTGTCTTTTTCGTTCGCGACTGCCGCCGTGGGTGTACGCTTACTAACCATTTCCTAATTGGAATTGTGTTGCTATGTGGGGATAGTATCCAGTGCACACAGACATCTAAACTTTTAAAAGATAGCTCCTGAGGTGGAATTTAATTTTTGCCTATTTTATCTGAAAAGCCAAATGAGATGAGCACATTTTCTAAGAAGGAAATCTAATATCAGTGATTTACACACAAATTGCCATTGTACTCCCCTGTGTCACATACTGACAGACAAAGAGGAAAAATGTTGGAGAACTGCAGATATGTTTTGTTTTTGTTGTTTCTGTTGGCGCTTTATTCTGATATTTGCATACACCATCCGCTGAATATTCAACAAGCCATTTTGGCCCAACGGTCAAACGCACTCGTCACGTGATCAAATTATGGATCGCTTTTTCTACCACACGAATACTGATTTCATCCGCTTTCAGAAACACTGCTTCCCTCCCACTCGAAATTCATTTATATCGATCAGTTCCAATGCAGCTGTTTGTCTATCTCCATCGGTAAAACAGTAGAGCAGTTGCGTACTCACATGGTTCAAACTCAACCAGTCTGTCTAAGGACAATAAGAACGCCTAATCGGCAATCACTTACTTCCTCTCCCGTCCGTGATGCGTGACTGTGACTGCATCGTGCATCGTGTTCGCCCTTGGTTTGCTCGGTATTTTCTTTCTCGTGGAAAGTACTGCACTTAAGGTCGTGGGCACGTGTTTTGATGCGACGAAGTGACCCCGGAAAAATGCATAAACCAATGTTGCTGCCTAGTACAAACACTATGTGACCGGAAAATATCGCATCAAAATCATGTCGTGCTGAAAGACTATAAAGATCATGACAAAAAGAAAACAACGCTGACGGAGGGAAACGAGGGCAATCAGTTTGGTAAATCGGATGAGAAAAGATACAATCTCAATATCATTATCATGGACAACGAAATTTGTGTACACTCTCACATACCGCAAAGATTCATATCAACCAAAAAACATCTAGGTTCAAGCGCACATATTTTCTTTTATGGTAGTAAAAAGGACAAGTAAGATGTGATCATGGAAATCGATGATTTTGAATTCTATCAATCGTCTCGGTTTCCTTGGTACAGTGGAAGAAACACTGTTGGAGAAGGAATGCAAAACAGTGAAAAATCTATTTTTCCAACTCTGAAACCAATTCCCACTCAGACAAATTAGAGGCAAAGAGGAATCGTATGAAGTTATGGTTACTAGCACTTGATTTTAAATGATCTTCCAAACTAAATCCCTTTAGGGCTATCCCGAATTTCGTCCCGTGATGTGATGCAAAGGTTTTCAACGGCAATTTGAGCCTTTGCCTACTCACAGCTATATTGAATCGGCTGTAAACCTAATAAGCACAGAATTGTTTGGGTGTTGGAGGATAGCGATTGCACAGATTTTGATGTGTTGAACATTAGACCCGAATTTATATGAATAAGCAATAATCGGAATTTTATCCACATCAAAATCGTTCGTCGCTGTTGTTTTGCATCAGATTCAAAGGACATAATATGATCATTAAGACTATAGAAGCATGAATTATAGAGAATTCAAGCTTTCATCTAACAGTTAAATAGAACTGTATTCCAACAGACGACTCGCATTTAACTTCTTCATTAGGCTTACATCCTGAAAAGTATTATAAACAAAACCGCATTTATAATTCATTTCCTGTTTCCACAATGACTTACTTATTTATTTGCTTTATTTTTTGCGCATAATATGCATGGAACTTTCCTGACGCATGCAGAAGAAAATACATTTTTTGAGGAAAAAACTGAAAATAAATGAGGGCCTGTGTACTTGCAAATATCACAGCTTTTTTATGCGTAGATGCCGTTGATTAGTGGTGAGTGACATTAGCGATCCTCCAATTATTGGATTCCCCGGCATGGTCTCATGGATCCGGAAAACCCCAGACGAAATGTGCGCAATTTATCGTTCATCCCATTGAGCAACCTTCAAACGAAAGCACTGTCTCGTGGTCCGTGGTTTTGCGTTCCTCGGCAAAAGATAAACTCTATAGAATCGCGTGCGCAGTTTGAATTATATTTCGATCATCTCTGCAGCAGTTAACCCCGTATTCAGAGGATTAAGCCGGTTGGCTGAACGCGACACAGGTTGACCTCGAACAACAACAACAACACCGAATAGTGCCATGTTCACGTTGACAAAACAACACAACGAGACCTTAAAAAGTCGCAAATTAAATACAAAGTTGACAATGGTTTTTCATTCGTCTTCCCAATCAAAATACTCGGCATATTGGACATATTGGAGAACACAGGGAAGTTATACATACAAACTCTCACTTCTTCCGCTTTTGACAGCCTATGGCAGCGGAAAAGCTTTGATATTTGAACGTGAAACTTAAAACAACGGGATAGGGCATCGGTCACATGATGAGTTGTTTCAGCCGTAGAAGTGAAACCAGGGACATTGGTCATTGACTTAGTCTGTTCAGTGTTCGACTTCGTGATGTGCTGTGTTCCCGGATTGGTTTGAGCTATCACCTGACCCAGTGGCCTTCATATGTTATTTCACATGAACTGGTAGAATGGGATTACTTGTTGTCTTTTATTTGCAACCAAACAACTGGCTCGGATGTGAAGAACCCATGAAACCGTGACCTATCTACCGTACTCCGGATACTGGATTATCTCATTTCTGTGACAACTGATTGGTCCCTCGTGAAAGGCGGAGAATTGCCAATCGATCTGTTCCTAAACTTAGTCTTCCTTTCAATGTTCACAGTGCTTTGAATCATTTTGTGAACTCTATGTCTGAGAGGCATTGCGTCTGTGGAGATGGCTCCTAGGACCTGGAGCTTATTTTCCTTGCATATTGTCTGTAAATCTTCTTTAGCCATCCTTCTAGGCGGGAAATCACTTTGGTTTCTGTAATAGTTGAAGAACGCATCGATCACGAATTACGAATCACGCATCAGAAATCACGGACGCCAGGTAAGCACCGAATCACACTGGCACTTGTATGACGGTATTCCACGTAACCGAGACACAAGGAAAAGGCCACAGGGGTAGCAGTTCCTTCATTGGAAGAAATCATGGGGTTGAAATAATATGAACAGAAGAAGTTTATTGGTCGTCCAGGCATCTGCTAATTGTGGGCTCGTATTCCTGGTGTCTAGAAGCTGTAACGCGTGGGCTCTTTGTTGGCGTCACCTGGGAAGCTTGACTCGTCAAATTTGTCCGAAAACTGTAACGTATCGCCCCGAGATTTGCGTCATCCCGTAAGCTATGATCACCACAGTTTCTTTGAGCGATACGGAAATAGATATATTGATCTTTTCATGCACCAACCGCTGTAGCAATCTAATCTGAGATTATGGCTCGCGTTACTCTACTACGCAATGGCCCCCAAGGTTGTTTCAGGCAAAGCAGCGGAGAAGGCCTCGAAGGCCAAGTATCGAAGGTTGGCAAGAAGAAGAAGCACAGGAAGAAGGAGAGCTACGCCATCCACATCTACAAGGTGTTGCGTCAGGTTCATCCCTACACCGTTGTCACCTCCAAGGCCATGTCTATCATGAACTCGTTCGTCAATGACATCTTTGAACGTATTGCCTCCGTGTCAAGCCGTTTTGCTCGCTACGACAAGCGCTCGACCATCACGAGCAGACAGATCCAAACTGTAGTTCGTCTTCTGTTGCCTGGTGAGTTGGCCAAGCGTGCAGTCTCCGAGGTTACCAAGGCGGTGATTAAGTACATTAGCACGAAATAGATCCGGCGGTGTCCGTTACCCGGTAGAGACCGCTTCTATGACCCTTTTGAGGACTATTCTAGTGCTGAAAATTTTATCCTATTGGGTACATAAAGCGTTACGTGACTTGACTTGACTCGGCAAAGCAAAGTAGATGTTTTGTTCATTTTCAAAGTAAAGATGGTGTGCTGTACAGCGTGGCGAAGAAGAAATACAAAGAAATCATATTATCCAGTCCGGAAAAAACGGTGCAGGAGTCTTGCTTCACGTGAAACGATGGATTATATATTGATTTGTATGGGACTGCAGGGAATCAGCATCAGATGGGTTGTTCGTTTATCGGGGTTTAAAAGAAACCCGAAGGGTTATGAAACACCCAAGAGTCAAGAATATTGGGGCTGGTTTCCAGGCGATATAAATCATTACCGTCTCTATCTTCGAATGTGTTCTCTCTATGCGGACTTTCATTCCGAGGTTTCATGGGTTGGGAAACTGCACACAGAGTCTAGGTACCACTACAATCGAATTCAGATATTTGCTCAAGCTCTAGATTAGTGGGGCCAATTCGAATAGGAACACATGTCCAATTTCGTGACTTTAATACGCGACTCGAATTTGACCGATCGAACTAGGGTCTCACAAATGTTGGATTTTGTTTCACTCTTGTTCCCAACATCAAACAATGAAGAGTTGCACTTTTTGCCTGACTTTGCACAGTTGCCATCACAAAAAACTTCACGCTGTGGGAAACCCACAGTCTATTGAGTAGGTTACATGAAAAGTACGTCAAAAAGCCTGACTCATATTTTGAAACATTTCCATTAGTTAGCAAATTACTTGTTCATCAACTTGGCAACGAAGAACTCACAGTTCCCTCTGAAGATGTGTTTCAGGTTCTGCTTGGTTTCTGAAATCAATGGAGATGAATATTGTGGTTCGTACTCTGACTAGTATATGGTATACGTATTGGATTCCGCGCAGCAATAGTCCGACCCAGAACTAGGACTCGAAATAAAATCAGAAGACAGAAATCAGAGGTGGATTGGGATTGTTATAAGCGGAAATTCGGAATATACAAGGATATCGTGTTCAATAAAAGGAGTTCAAAGTTCATGAGCAATCACCACAATGAATCAGCGGAAACTGTCGAATACAAACTACACGGACTCAAGGGACCCGTGTGTGCAGTGCGGTTGACACGTGTTTTTTGAGAGAGCTGAACAGAAAATATTTTGCAGTATAGTCCCAAGGTAGGATTTCCTATCACTTGAAAATGACGTCTCAAACCAAAGTAATTTAGTCAATTTCCGATGATTTACCCATGCAATCAACTTCTTGTTTCGATCAATATTCCGACACCGGATTGTTTTGTCACCTCGAAGAACTTGGCATTGCACACTTTGACATCTAACCGCTTAGGTACAAATGTTTCCACTGTTGTTTCGACTCGTTGTCTGCCCGAATGGACTACTAACCTTGAAGATGATTATTAGAAGGGGAGAATCATTAGCGGTCGGATAGCATGACTCATCGATCGTTTATTCTCGGAGGCCTTCACTTCTGAAATCGGCAAATTAGACAGTCTAGTGTCCAACAAACTTGGTGAAAAAACAAATATGGCGCGTAGCATGCAGCAAACTGCAGAGATTTTTCTCGATGGTATCCCTGGTGTCCAGCATGAATTAAGGAGATAAATTGGGCATATTCGCATGCATTCAGATAACACCTCTGTTGACTCAAGGCGAAAGATCATACTATTCAGTGTGGCTCCTTTTGACCACGCTCACCATTCTTGGCTGTTCTCTCGAGCAGGTGGTCACAATGAGCTACTGTTGGAATGAAAACCAAAAGAATGTCGTTTTGAAATGGTTTGTTTGGTTTTCCATGTATAGATCAAATTCTATGATTGTGGGACGTTCTAACCAATAATTCCACAAGCCCCCAAAGCCATATGTTGGTAGGTCAGTCTGTAATAACCATGTCCGTTAAGCAGAGCTAATATAGACAGTAGATATGCAAGCTAATTACTGGCGTTTACGTTGCGCATATAATGTACCTGAATTAGATACTTTTGATTATATATGTGGCGTTCACATAACTTTGAAATTTTTTTTGTGTGTACGAACTTAGTTGAGATTGGGTGTGAATACGTCAAACTAGAGGGTAGAAAATAATTATTTTCTTTCTTTAAATTGCATATTCATTAATTCGGGAGCAATCCGTACAATACAATCATAACTTATTTCCATGCAGTACAAGAGAGAATGAGTTTACAAAGTCGCTGAATAAAATTAAGCAACTGAATTGATGAAAAAGGATGTGATATTAAAAACTATAATGCGCATCACTTCGTGATAGATTCAATCATTTCAGAATCATATTGTGCTGAACTTTGTTGATTATTGTTCTTTTTTGATTCGTCAAACATATCAATCATTCTCTGAGCTTCACTCATAACAAAGTAACTCACAATGGACCGTGCGGTAGCTCGGTCATAATTATCCACATTCGACAAACGGTGCTCATCGTACAGTGTTTCCTGGAACGCGTATCATCGGGTTGTTCGTATTCAAACCGCTTTTACAGCTGTACTCAATGTGGGGAATAACCAAGAGAACGATGAGAAATGAGAATGACTTTTATTCCGACCGAGTGACATCAAACACTGGTTTGGTTGATTTGTGCGGTCTGCCCGTCGTCGTTTTTGCAACAAATCAGCTACAGTAACTCAGTACCAAATAGTCATGAAATGTGCGTGTTTGCGTAGATGGATGGATCCAGAGACCGTTGATTCTTTTCCCAAATGCTCTCGCGCGTGCACAAGCACAATGTCCCAAATGATGAACACAAGTATGACCACGATCGTCCATCCTGTGTGTGTACACCCCTGTCAAATTGTGTTCGCCCTGATGCATTAGATATTCACTCCACATCTGCTAATCACCTGGAGTGCCGTCAACAGATCCGTGTGTTTGTCGCACAACGGCACAAGAAATTGGCCGTCACATGGTAGTTTTTCTCAGAATATCTCAAAACTCGTTCGTGAGAACAATGTCAATTTTGCAACTGGTCGCAGTATAGCTTTAAGCTTAGGAATCGAAGGTGCAACTATCCTGGTGAGGGATATTATCAATCATCATAGTTTAGAGCAATGAATCAAGGCAATC